ATATTATGTGAACATTATATATGCTAATATTTCACCTAATGTAAAATAAAGATGATATCAATAGTTCAACATTTATTGAAAACTCAAAATATTAATATATATTATTATAGTGGTATTTCCTATTATATTATTGTGCTTCTAGTATCCTTATATCTTTTTAGATGAAATTATTATAAATGACTTGAGCATATACAATTTATATTATGTATATTAAACCTTATTTGGATTTGTTGGAATGATCACAGATTTAACTGTTGAAAAATTTATGAAACTAATAATTAAAATAAATAATTAAGAAATGTCTATTTAGGCTTAGCCTCACGACAATTACTAATAATATTTAGATATTTTTATAGTATATAACTTACACACTAAAATTTGTTAACAAGCCATTAATTGATATATTAATGAAATAACTAACTACAGGTCAGTATTATAACATTCGAGGAATTCTATGACATATCTTTGTTATAATTGATAAAACTGTTATACTAAAAAATATCAGACATGATGAGTCCTTTTTGTATAATTTATTCTTAGTTCTTTTTTTTTTTAGCTTGACTTATGTATAATTCATTATGACACAAATAAATAATTGATGAAACTTAAGAATAACTAAAATTAAAGAGGGAAAGGTCTCATTATATTTTAATTACTACTTAGAGAGTAGATAACGATAAAAAAATAAAACATAATTCATAAAATAAATCAATTGAGTTTATAATGACTATACAAACTCATAAAAAAGAACTTTTATAATAAAAAAGGCCTATAAAGTTTGTTCCAAAGGAAAAGATATAAGTTGATATTTACATATTTTGAATCAAATATTATAAAAGTTTTTTTAATATTCAATGGATTGTATTTGGTGCTTAAATTCATATTATCAATAATTGATAAATTTTCATTTTAACTTGAAAAAATCAAAAGTGCACAAAAGATTCATTGTTATAAGAAATTATTTGAAGTGATAGTTTTAGCCTACATTTAAAGATAATTCATATCTTGAGGGTATATGCTACATTTCTATAATTCTAAAAATTTAGTTTATTTATCTAGAATTATGAGAAATTTTATATGGAGCAATATAAATGATTGACAAAAAAAGGAACAGGAAAGTTGAAATTATAAAATTTAAAAATCTAAAGTTTTATGATACTATTACTAAAGGCTATAAAATAAATATTAATAATCAATATTTATATTTGAAGGTTAGTAAGAGCAAGTTTGTTGTATTAGTTTTATATATAGATGATATTTTATTTGTCAACACTTGATTTATTGTATGAAATCAAAATAATTTTTAGTAAGAATTTTAAGTTGGTTGATATGCATAAAATAACTTATGTTATTGATATTAAGATATTTAGGGATAGATCTTAATAATTGCTATAATTGTCTCAAAAAAGATATATTGATCGAGTTTAAAAGAGACTTAGTATGTAATTTTGTTCGACTAATGTTACACTTATTATCATAAATTAAATTTTTTTGTTAAAACTAGTATTGTAAGAATGACTTGAAAAATAATCAGATAAAAAATAATATTCCTTATAGATATGCAATTGAAATTTTATTATATGCTAAAGTCTATAGCAGATCAGATATTAGTTTTAAAGTAAGAAATATTTGGTAGATATTAATGTTACCCATAAATAAAAATATTATAAATAATATAATAAAATATTTGTAATAGAAAGGATTATATGCTCATATATAATAGATCAGAATAGCTTGATGATAGATTTTAATATGTTGATATTAGCTAGAGGGATAATTTTTAAGAATTATATTATCAAAAAATATATTATAAAAAATATAAGCTAAGTTTGTGGCATACTTGGAGGCTACTAATCAAGCTTTATAATTACAAAATTTATCTCTAGACTTAATATGATTAAACTCAATTGTTAAGTCCTTAAAGATACGTGATATATCATAATAAATTTCTTTTCTAAGAATAGTAAGTACTATAGCTATTCTATACATCATGGTATAAATTGTTTGATAATTATATAAAAAAATCTAAAAATAACTAATATCAATTAAGAATTAATTTTTTCTATATTGATTGTTGATATATTTATTAAGGCTTTGTAGCCTAAGATATATAAAGAACATATTTTTATGAATGAGTTTGTAAACCATCTATAAAAGATATAGTGATGATAGAATTATTTTGATAAGACAAATTATAGAAGTTATTATAAACTATATTAAAAAAGACTAATAGTGTTGTTATAAATGAAAGGAAATATGACAATTATAACATACAACCGTTCTGACTCGTATTGATAGTCAAACTTAATGTGATATTATTATAATTATTAGATTTATTAGCTTATTTTATAAAATTCGTGGCCATATATAAAACACTTTTTAAATTTTTTCTAAAATCCAATCGGTAAAACTATTTTTAGATAAACTTTTATTTTATTTATTTTGATTTTAAATTTTTTATATCTTTTCATTTTTTGGCCCACATGGGAGAATATTAGATTATATGTTCGTATTTAATTATGTAAGATATATTATAGATTTGATTATATTATAATTATAGTTATTAGTCAATAGAAATAAATTTTAATTATGATAGTATTTCTTCGGATATAACTTTGATGAGAAAGACTCTCCTAATTACTCATCATAAATCATATTCTCTTCACTTATAAATAAATAAGAACTCCTAAGGACTATATACGATGTGAGATCTATTCTTAATCTCTTTTAGTCCATATTTTATCTCTTATAATGATCATAAGAAGGACAAAAAAATAGAAGAAAATGAGTCTAGTTCTTATTATAGATTGGTATCGTTTTTTTCTTCGTATCAGAGATGATGCATTTGTAGATCTAGAGAAATATATTTCGAACAACATCTATGGGAAAGCATGGGTGTTAAACGGTAGAGTGGAGACGATGGTGGGTAAGGGAAGGAAAGTTTATTTTTAGAATTATAAAAAATAGGGGCGCTATTGGAGAAAAAAATAAAAACATGAAAGTTATCTAAAAAAAAAGAAAAAGATCACCATTTAAATATTTGAATATGGGCGATTTTTCTAAAAATACCTATATTTGGGATATTTTTCAATCCATATCGTGCATTTTACTTTTTCTCATACAATACACCTAATTTGAAAAATACCCAAGCTACCCTTCAAAATAATTCTATCTATTACAATGTTTTGGTTACCATAATAAAAAAATTATAAAACCTACTTAAAAAAATTATAAATGATCTAAATAGACTCTTCACCTCAATCAAATTAATTATATATTTTAAAAAATAATATTATAATGGTCAAACAAAAGCAACCTAAGAGACACGATATGATGTCACTTACAATATTTTTAATAATATTTATAGTATTTTTTAATATATTAATAAAAATATTATAAATATTATTGAAAAACATTATAAACGAATCAAATGAAAACACTACGATAGTTGAAAAAAAAAAAGGTGAAAAAATTTGATAGGAAAAATTTTAAGGGATGTTTTGATTATTTTATAAATTAAAAATATTATTTAGGAAAAAAGTAAAAGAGACTCACCTCTTAGGAAATAATTAAAATATGAGTGTTTTTTTTTTTACGAAAATCGATTTAAATTTGGAAGGGAAGTATATGCTATACTAAATTTGGAGGGGGGCAGTTTGCTATTTCCAAAACATCAAAGGATAGATATAAAAACTCTTATTTATTAGGAAAATTAAAAAGGGCTTGGCCTAGAGCAAATCGAGGAATGATTGAGATTGGAAAATACCTCCTTTGTTTTATTTCTAGGAACGGCCACCAAAAAAGTATTTTTTTTTTCTGATCTGTCTTTTGACTTGGAAATGTGATTATTGATCGCACTTGAGGCCCACTTTCAATCCCTTTTTTAGTTAATATAGCAATTCCAATATTCATAGAAAGCATCGCCAAAAAAGATACAATATTTTAGTTCTTTGATATTAAATAGTTGAACTACAATTAAATTATATATAATTAATTTCCCAATTAATTAGTCTCACTACAATTTTGTCCCACTGTTGTTATTCTTAAGTTATGCTGGGCACAAATTTTCCCTTAATTACAGATAAATTAAGCAGATATAATCCCTCAATTCCCGTATGGTGATTGGCTATTAGCCCCTGCCAAAAGAGAGTAAATATTTTTTTTTTGGGAATCAAATTACTTATGTATTTTTTTGCAAATTAAAATTTATTTTTATATATTTAAAAATATGATGAGAGTTTAGCTAAGCCTTTGCTGGCCGATGACAGCACGCCCAACGATTTGCTCCCCCAAGCTATCATGATGCAAACATCAAACACGGACGTTGTCCAATCGACCGAGGCTACGATGACGTCTGTGAGAAGTCTGTGCATCCTTCGGTTAGGTGGCCACCTCGCGTTCGCTGAATCGATGCCCCGCGTTTGAGGACTCCTGACGCGATTCCTTTTCTCGGCGGAGCTAAAGAGCCACGTGGTGGATTACAGCTGTGGTTTCCATGTCATTTTGAGAATGGAATGCGGAAGGGGAAACGGGGCGGGAAGGTCAGCGGGGCCCACCGGAAAAGAGTGTCTTGCGGCGCCGGGACCAGACGCCGTTAAGGTTAAACGGCGTGCAGGGCCCCACTCGGCAAACCGCTTGGTCAAACCGGTCAAAACCACTAAGACATATCGGCTAGAGTTTATGACGTGTTTACCCTTATAAATGTTCTTGTTTCTCAATAATACATATAGACTAAGGGTATATTTGAAAATTCACGCACTAAAGGACGAGCTAAGCGGTTTCATCGTATTTGTAAAACCGGGGGCATCGTCCGTAATTAGAAAACAGGCAAAGGGCTATTTGCCCCACGATCGTGTCGCTTAACCCTGGTTAGATGAACCAACCCGGGTTCGATAAACCAATGAACGGCTCGAAAGGGCTCGTGGGAAAATAAAAAAAAGGAAAAAAAAAACCATTAAAGGAAACTAAAGAAAAAGAACAACAGGGCGGGGGGGGGAGAGAGAGAGCGGGGTCTTCTAGCGTTAGGGTTTGACCGTCGCACAGCATCGAGGGTTTTCATTTCCGAGGGAAATTACCGGCACTCCGGCGAGATCGCCGTATTCCGGCGCAAGATTCGCCGCTCGATCTACGATCTCGCGTCTCCGTAACCCTTACCTTTGGGTAAAGGTCGCCGGTTGCGTAAAATTGGTTTCGGCATTGCTGGGTTAGGGTCGTGATCGGAGGTTAGAGGTGGTACTAGCATTGAAGCTTCTGGGGGGCTTCCGATCTCCCGAGATCGAGGGGTCTGGAGACCCTAAAGATCGCGCCTTTGACGGGGGTGCCTTGGGCATGCAATCCGGGAACGGCCGGAACCCGGCGGCCACGCCGTCATCCGCCGCGTCGCCTTCTTCCTCCTCCTCCGCGGTCTCCGCCCCGAACCATCTGGGCTTCGAATCAATCCAGCAGCAGCAGCAGGCTTATAGGCAGGTGAGTGGGTAGATTGTGCACCGTTTTCGTTTCATATTCGTACTGTGACGGGCATGACGGTTGCGGCCGTTGCGTGGGGATCTGAGAAAAAGATGGTCGTCCATGTTTGTTTCCATATTTGGGGAAAAGTGGGGACACACTTGGGGTTCTTTAATTCGAGGTCCGGGGGTTTTCGGAGGATTACCACTCAGATTCTGCGGCCCAGATTCGCTGAATCATGTGTTTCCTCTCGTTGCACGCTCCTTGTTGGATGCTGATACTATGCATTCTTCCCATTGGGTCATCGAACTTACTGTCTGAGCCAGTCGTAACTCGATCGCTGCCAGGTTGACAGTCGATCTCCAGGTTGGCAGCGTTGGATCGTATTTTCCTTCTTCCCCTGTATCTGGGTCTTTGATGGTTTTATCTGGATGCTTTCCGGGGCGGTAGCTTATCGTAGTTTCTGGTTTTCATTTGTTCTTTTTTTTTTTTGCTTTTGGGTTTGATGTTTTGGCTTCTTTGTCCATCTTGTTACTAATATTAAGGGTCACATTTTGTTTTCATGTGTTGTACTGGAATCCTGTTTTATCCTTTATCTACCAGTATCTTTTTTGTCAATTTCTGTAGCCCTTCGTAGATCAATCTTCGTTCTCTGGTGTTGGGTTAGAAGTGTAAGAGTTCGGATCATTTCTTCTTCTTTCTCATTGGTTTTTCGAGTTGATTCACGATTTTATCTGACAACGTTCTTCGAGACTTGGTTGTTTGAATTTTTCTATCGGTTGTTGACCATAATTTGGCTACCTGATTTTTGAGCCATCGCCGTGTGTATCAGATTTTCTGGACTTGGTTTTTTATGCAAGGTTTATGTGGTCTTATGAGTGTACAGAGTAGTTTACTGGAGCCCTAATCAGCCTTTACAGAGTACTCAGATGATGCTACCGGGAGACCATTTTTTTGTGCTTCTTATGCTTGTGCAATCAACATTGGTCATTTGGGTATTGAGGTAGAAATAGCATCACACTTTATTACCGTATAAGCTTTTGAAAGCTGGCTATTCTTGATTTTGCAACTTGCTAAAGCATGTGCTATTTGCGTGTACATTATATGCACACGAGGAATATGACACAGTTGTTTGAAAATTTTGGATTGTTGTGTTCTATTTGTGAGGTTTTTTTGCTTATGGTTTTAATTATATTCCATCGTTGTCTTATTGTCTATTCTTCCAATAATCGAGTAATAGTATATCTGATGTAGGCATTACAACAACAGGAGCAACAACAGAATCAGCAGCAGCGCAGGAAAGCTGAAGTTGATCAATCCCTTCTTAGCTATCAGTCTGGTGGTACATATGGAGTCACAGGCGGAACTGGTTTTCCAATATCTTCTGGTGCTGTACATCCGTCTCAGTTGCCTAATAAGTATAGTAACATACCTCAACAACCTGGTGCCCTTCAGCTTCGCGAGGAAAGCAAAAATAAAGGGCAGGATGTAGGACAGCAAATGCAGAACTCAATTCATCAAGCTTACTTTCAATTTGCTTTGCAAGCTGCTCAGCAAAAGGCTCATGGGAACTCAGTAGTGCAGCAGCAAGGTAAAATGAATATGGTCGGCTCATCTGGAAGGGATCAAGACATTTTTATGAACAGATTAAAGATGCAAGAACTTATGTCACTTCAGGCAGTTAATAAGTCCCAAATGCCTATGCTTAATAGACCAGCAGAACAGTTCACACATGCCGAGAAGCAGATGGAGCCAGGTTGTACTAGCACTGATCAAAGAATTGATCAAAAACCTTTCCTAGCAGATGGGCAGCTAGCTTCTGCTAACATGGTAAGACCGATGCAGCCATTGCAGTTGCTGCAATCTCAGTCTAGTCTGCAGAATCTTGCAAGCAATCAGTTGGAGATGGCACAGGTGCAAGCGATGCAGGCATGGGCAAAGGAACATAATATTGATCTATCTGTTCCTGCTAATTTAAATTTGATTGCTCAAGTTCTGCCCTTCTGGCAGTCGAATAGAATGTCTGTTATGCAGAAGCCAACTGAATCTAACACAACTGCACAGAAATCTTGTTTGCCATCTTCAAAGCAACTGGTAATGCCATCACCAGTTGGCAGTGAAAATTCAGCACATGGGAACTCTACAAGTGATTTGTCTGGCCAGCGTGGCTCCATAAAATGTCATCAAACAGTCCCATCTACTTCAATCTCCAATGGCGGGGATACCACAGGCTTGAACACCAATACTTTGCAAATGCAGCAGCAGGTTGCTGATTATAGCAGGATCAACCAGAATGAGAGAGTTGTCAGACCCACAATTATAACTAGCAGTTGTGGGTTAGTTAACCATTTACCAAATTCATGTGGTAGCATGAACCAGCCGGTAGATAAGTCTAATGCAAAGAATGCTTTTATGGGGAATGAACTGCAGCAAATGCAGAATTTGAGGCCCTTGCAGAAGATAAATCGGTCCAATATATTACCTACAGTTCCTGGAAATAGTACTGTGGGTTGTCAAATTCCAACTGAAAGTGGATTTGCTCAGACACCAAACCATCATGTTGGATTTACAAAGCAGCAGCTTTATGTTCTAAAAGCTCAGATCTTAGCTTTTAGACGGTTGAAGGTATGCAAAAAATCTCAAAACACATTTGCTTCCTTGTTTTTTTTTGGGTCTTCTGAAGCTAAAGCAGCAGCTTTATGTTCTAAAAGCTCAGATCTTAGCTTTTAGACGGTTGACAATATGCAAAAAATCTCAAAACACATTTGTGCCTTTGCTTTTTTTTGTTTTTTTCTTCTGAGGTTTGCATTTACGCTGGAATTGTGTTCGTTGGTATAAGATTTTGTATAATATAATAAGATGAACTTGTCTGTCTTTTCAGACTTTAACTCATACAAAATTTTTTTTGTGTGCAGCGTGGTGAAAGAAGTCTGCCACCTGAAGTTCTTCAAGCAATTTCAGATCCCCCAGTTGATTCTCAGCCACAACACTGGCCTGTTCAGTCTGGAACTGTTAACCAGGATTTGATGAGGATTGCCAAGAGCAATGATAATGAGCATAAGAGATGTGTGGAGTCTAATGATCAAGCAGAACAGTCTGCTCCTGTGAATAAAGGACGGATTCATCTGAAGGAGGAATCCATTACTGGAGAAGAGAAAGCTGCACTTGCCAGTCAAATGCAAGGTGCAACAAGTTTAGAAAAGGGATCTGTATGCTTGGGATCTATTGGCAAGTTAGAAGAAAGCAATACTACTGTTAAATCTGAGCAAGAGGTTGAAAGAGGAAGTCAAAATTTGTCCACTGATAAGGTAAAGGCCGTACCAGTGGATGGTGCAGTACCGGTTCCTGGGCAATTGAAAAAGCCTGCCTCAACAAGTAGCACAGCACCTCCCAGAGATGGTGTTTCAAGAAAGTACCATGGGCCACTTTTTGATTTCCCATCATTTACAAGGAAACATGATTCCTTGGGATCATCAACTACAAATAACTCTACTAATTTGACATTGGCTTATGATGTGAAAGATTTGCTGTTCGAGGAAGGTAAGATTGTTCTTGACAAGAAAAGGGCTGAGAAATTGAAGAAGATTAGTAGGTTACTTGCGATTAATTTAGATAGGAAAAGAATTAAGCCGGATCTTGTGATAAGGTTGCAAATTGAAGAGAGAAAAACTAAGCTTCTGGATTTTCAGGCTCGTCTCAGGGATGAAGTTGAACGCCAACAGCAGGAGATAATGGCAATGCCTGATAGACCATACCGCAAGTTTGTTAGGCAATGTGAACAGCAGCGATTGGAGCTAATAAGGCAAGTTCAGCAGCTGCAAAAGGCATCCAGAGAGAAACAATTGAAATCTACTTTTCAGTGGCGTAAGAAGCTCTTAGAGGCTCATTGGGCCATTCGTGATGCTCGTACTACACGAAACAGAGGAATAGCAAAATATCATGAGAGGATGTTAAAGGAGTTTTCAAAGAGGAAGGATGAGGACAGAAATAAAAGAATGGAGGCATTGAAGAACAATGATATGGATAGATATCGTGAAATGTTACTGGAGCAGCAGACAAACATCTCAGGAGATGCATCTCAGCGTTATGCTGTTCTTTCTTCCTTTGTGTCCCAGACAGAAGAGTACCTTCACAAGCTTGGGGGAAAAATTACAGCTTCAAAGAGCCATCAAGAGGTTGAAGAGGCAGCAAATGTTGCAGCCGCTGCTGCACGAGCTCAGGTACGACATACCAGATTTTTATATGCCCTGCTTTGTCATCCATCGCTAAAGCATTGCACAATTGTGTTATTGACAGGGTCTTTCAACAGAAGAAGTAAGAGCAGCAGCAGCATGTGCAGGAGAGGAGGTAATGATAAGGAATAGGTTTTCTGAAATGAATGCTCTAAAGGAGAGTTCTGCTAACAAGTAAGTTTTTCATAAATCTGTTGTTTTTGGTCATATATCTGCTGTTAATAAGCTTTGTCATACAATTGTGTTTGTTTTCTCCTTAATGCTTCTGTATAACATGACCATATTTCCATCCCTTTTTTATTTCTTCTTATTGTGCCTGTTGAATTGCTTCTTTTTGCTGCTGAATCAGGATTGTAATTGTTAGGTATTATAATTTGGCTCATGCTGTGACCGAAAGAGTCATAAGGCAACCTTCAATGTTGCGAGCTGGGACATTAAGAGACTATCAGCTTGTAGGTTAAAACTTCTTGCACAATTTTATATATAGATATAGGTTTTCAAGCAAATCTTTGTTATCCTTTTTCTTTGCTTTTCAGGTTGGACTACAGTGGATGCTTTCCTTGTACAACAACAAGTTGAACGGAATATTAGCGGATGAGATGGGTCTTGGCAAGACAGTCCAGGTGGCCTTTCTTGAACTGAAAGTGTAAAACTTAACATTTACTCTGGTGATATCGTGATTTATTTTTTTGTGATGGTTTGCAATCTCAACAGGTAATGGCATTGATTGCTTACCTGATGGAATTCAAAACTAACTATGGTCCACATTTAATTATAGTACCAAATGCTGTTTTAGTAAATTGGAAGGTATTTATTTGTTCCACTCTTTGCTGGTCTGTAATTTATACTCTTTTAAGAGCATGACTTGATACTTCTGTTTGTTTTTAGAGTGAGCTGTTAAACTGGCTGCCTTCTATATCATGCATTTTTTATGTTGGTGGGAAGGATGAAAGATCAAAGCTTTTCTCTCAGGTTAGGTGCTTGCATCTGCTCTTTATTACAACATGTGGACTTTCCTACTTATAAGTATGCATTTTTCTGTGAAATGAGTCTTGTTTAAATCAACTCATGAAAATGAAGAAAAATAGCTAACAAATATTAAGTACAAGCATTATAAATGTGATACACCATCTATGCCACAAATTTTATCCTGAAATCTAATACACCATATTTTGCTGAATGCACTTAAGCCATGAAGTTACACAATGTAACATGTTTTGCTCGATCATGAAATTTTGGTTTATATATTTGCCAGTTTGAGTTCTAGAGGCAAATATTATCTTTACTTTAGTTACAAGAGTTCACAAGATTTTCTGATTTTTTATCTGAATAAGGTTTGGTTTGGTTTTATTTATCAAATATTCAGATTTCTATTCATTCTTCAATATGTTCATTTATTTTATTTGTCTAAAGAATAATTTATACTGTCCTCTCTGTATCAAAGAAATTAATTTGAATAGTGAATGTGAAACATCACTAGAATCAGGAAACTTACATGTGTGCATACAACTGTGTTATGAAATGTTATGAATCTGCTGCCTGTTCTCTCTCTTAAACCTTTTCTTGTCAAGCTCATGTATGAGCCATTTTTTCAATGTCAAGGTTTACTGTTCCCATGTATTCATACTGGCATTGTACTGGACCAGCATGTATTGACCAATGTGGCATGGCATGACTTGGAACACTGGTATGTTGGTGTTGACCGATTCAGTTGGAACACTGGTATATCAGCATTGTATCTGACTGGTATGATGTGATATGTCATAGTATTGGAATTCATGATAGACATTGCTATTCCTCTTGTTCTCATTCTTTCATTGTATTTTCTTTCCCCTCATATGCTTATTTTCCCCCTAAAATTTAATAATGTTTGAGATTACACCCCAACCGCATTTTTTTATCTCAGACTTATGTCACTTAAAATTAATTGTTGGAGAGGATGACTATGAAATTACTTGATTTCCTCTGCATTATTCTCTTAGAAAAAAGTGAGGATAATGATGAAAATATCATAGTGCTTTATGACTCGTTTGCTCATATAACTAAGCACCTAATCAGTGGTGCCTCAAGCCACCTTTGGTACCAAATAAAGGTCAAATTTCAAAATATATTCTTTACTAGCATTCATCGGTTGATACATAGCTGTTTTAAATGATGGTTAACAGGTGCCAAATTCTAGCTAGATTCTAGCCCTGAAGGGCATAATTAATTGATAATTACTGCATCGATGATAACTTGCACAAGAGTTTAGTTCAAAAAATCCATTTTATTTCACAAAATTAAAGTTCTGATACTGGAGCACCTTGTTAAGGATTAATGTTTCTAGTCTGTGTTCTCATGTATACAAGCACCTTGTAATGCTTATGGGTGATTAAAGCTCATTGGGCTTCCTATTATTTGATTGATACAATTGCTGCACTTGCAGGAACCTGAATATCAATACAATTCAATTGTTCTTGCATTTTTGACCAAGTTAATCTCCCTTGCAACTAATAATCCTAATATACTAATCCGTTGTAGCTTATCCTTATTGAAATATGTGCTCACATATTCATGGTAACTGTATAACTTTGCATTTCACAGCATACAGAGAAGGGTTAGACCTGTACTATGTGATGAAACCTTTAGGAATAATAGGTTGATAACATAAGGGGCATCTTGCTGCTTTTGCTCAGAAAAGAAGGCCAAGGTGTACTTTTGGGTCCCATAGTAAAACTGCTCTGACATATGGTCCGCCATTCAGTGCTGACCCAAAGTTTTTTTTTCTGGAGAATTATTCTGAAGTACTTCATAGTTCATATAGTATTATTGTATAGCTGAAGATGGAAAGCAATTTTAAGGGGTCCATGTTAATTTCTGATTGAAGAATCAGAAACTCTATTATTGCACATTATTCAATCTTATGTTTTGCATGCTTCAAGTAGCATCGCCCTTAAATTTTAATTGTTTTTTTTGCAGGAAGTTTGTTCTGTCAAGTTTAATGTACTGGTAACAACATATGAATTTATTATGTATGATCGATCAAAGCTATCAAAAATTGATTGGAAGTACATAATCATTGATGAAGCACAAAGGATGAAGGATAGGGAATCCGTTTTGGCACGCGATCTTGATAGATATCGTTGCCAGAGAAGATTGCTGCTTACTGGTACCCCTTTACAGGTTTGCCATTTAATTCCCTTCATATATGTCCATGTTTCGCTTTTGTGTTATATATGTATTTCACATGCATGCAACTTAAATATGTTAAGAGTTATTTAAATTTTATTCTGCAACCTTGCTGTTTGTTTATGCTTTTTAATTCTTCAGAAACAAAAACAATGATAAAGTGAATCAATCTTTCTTCTATAATTATTTTAATATGAGAATTGTTTGTTTAGTTGGAACTTGAAGCTACTGGCACAAGAGAGAGTGGTGTGATGGACTACAAGAGCTACCCTAATTTACTTTTCCAAATTTAAGCATGTAGGGCAATACATGTAGTTGTAAATAGCATAAATGGAACAGGGTGTGAAAGACAAAGAGTTAAAATTATGGTGGGGAAAAAAATATGGTTTGAAGTCGCAGATAACTTAATAAAAAAAGAAGATAGGGTTTATTACGCCTGAAGAGATAAAAAAAATGTTTTGGATATTAATAGTGAATTAAATGATACTAAGCCAAGAAACCATGCAGTTCTTGTTGCATCTAGAAGATCAGTTTGAGTTGTTTTTGGTAAAATTTAAATTGCTCTGAAATTAAGATTTAGAGATTCGGATACAATTCTGGACAAGGTTTACTTTAGACTTGTGCTGACTCTGGTTGAATTTTATTCTGCAGAACGATCTTAAGGAATTGTGGTCCCTTTTAAATCTACTTCTTCCAGAAGTTTTTGATAATCGCAGGGCATTTCATGATTGGTTCTCAAAGCCCTTTCAGAAAGATGGTACTCCACATAATCAGGAAGACGAGTGGCTTGAGACTGAGAAGAAGGTGATAATTATCCATCGGCTGCATCGGATTCTGGAACCTTTCATGCTAAGAAGACGTGTTGAGGATGTTGAAGGTTCACTTCCTCGAAAGGTAAGTACAATGTGAATCCAAATCTATCCTAAGGTCACATGACATTTATTTGATGCATGTTTGCAGGTCTCTGTTGTCCTAAGATGTCGAATGTCAGCTATTCAAGGTGCCATTTATGACTGGATTAAATCTACTGGTACTATTAGGGTAGATCCCGAGGATGAGATGCGCCGAGTTCAAAAGAATCCACTGTACCAGGTCAAAATGTACAAGAATCTTAACAATAAGTGTATGGAGTTGAGGAAAGCCTGCAATCATCCTTTGCTTAACTATCCTTATTTCAGTAACTATTCCAAGGACTTTATTGTTAGATCATGTGGGAAACTATGGATTCTTGATAGAATTCTCATAAAACTTCAGAGAGCAGGTCATCGTGTTCTTCTCTTTAGTACCATGACTAAACTTCTTGATATATTAGAGGAATATTTGCAATGGCGGAGGCTTATATATAGACGAATAGATGGTACAACAAGCCTAGAAGATCGAGAAGCAGCAATTGTGGATTTTAACCATCCTGACTCTGATTGCTTTATCTTTTTGCTCAGCATTCGTGCTGCCGGAAGAGGTCTAAATCTCCAGACTGCAGATACAGTTGTGATATATGACCCAGATCCGAATCCTCAAAATGAAGAGCAGGCAGTGGCAAGAGCTCATCGGATTGGACAGAAGAGAGAGGTAAAGGTGATATACATGGAAGCTGTTGTGGATAAAACCTCTAGCTACCAAAAAGAAGATGAATTGAGGAATGGAGTCGTAGGAGATTCAGAGGATGATCTTGCTGGTAAAGATCGCTATATAGGGTCAATTGAGAGCCTTATACGTAACAACATCCAACAATATAAGATAGATATGGCCGATGAGGTCATAAATGCTGGTCGTTTTGATCAAAGAACCACGCATGAGGAAAGACGGATGACTTTGGAGATGCTACTTCATGATGAAGAGAGATATCAAGAGAATGTGCACAATGTTCCTTCTCTACAAGAAGTTAATCGTTTGATTGCTCGTAGCAAAGAGGAAGTTGGGTTGTTTGATCAAATGGATGAAGATTTTGATTGGACTGCAGATATGGTAAAACACAATGAAGTCCCAGTATGGCTTCGAGCTAGTACTGGAGAGGTAGATGCTGTTGCTGCTAGTTTATCAAAGAAGCCTTCGAAAAACATCTTATCAGTCAATATTGGACTGGAACCAAGTGCAAATTTTTCTGGGTCATCTCCCAGTAAAGCTGAAAGGAGGGGCCGCCCCAAGGGTCCAACTGCCCAAAAGTATCCAATCTATCAGGAACAGGATGACGAAGATGGTGAGGAATCAGATATTGACTCAGAGGAGAGGAATGCATCTGAAGAAGATGGAGAAATTGGAGAGTTCGACGACGAAGAGTCCAATGGTGCTGACATGATGCTACTAAACCACAAGGATCAAGTAGTTGAGGGAATGGATTGTGATAATGGCAGATATGAATTCTCACGAACAATGGATGGCAGCCAAAACGTTAATAAATTGGAAGAAGCTGGTTCCACAGGATCATCTTCTGGGAGTCGTAAATTGCCACAATCTGAAACTCCTTCCTTGTCTTCACAAAAGTTTGGATCACTTTCTGCTTTAGATGCCAGACCATGTCTATCTTCAAAAAAAAGGGTGGGTTGTACAATTGTCCCACTTGTAATAAGTTAATGTGTATATTTTATGTTCTTTCGTAAGTCAAGTTTGATTATTTTTGGTTATTTTTTCTCTGGAACTTACAGTCTGAGGAGCTAGAGGAAGGTGAAATTGCAGTATCAGGCAATTCCCACATGGATCTGCAACAATCAGGTAGCTGGCATCATGACCATGATGATGGAGAGGATGAACAGGTTTTGCAACCAAAAATAAAGCGTAAACGGAGTATGCGGATTCGTCCAAAATATGCTGCAGAAAGAAATGATGAAAGATCTAGCAGTGAGAGGATTTTTGCCCAGCGCTCTCCAAGGCTGCCCTTGCATGTTGACCATGATTATGGTGTACCATCAAGGACTGAAAATCCTGAAGCATTTGCTGAGGCTGGTCTGGGAAAGAATGACACAAGTAGCTCACTATTGAAGCAGAGGCATAATGTACCATCAAGAAAAATTTCACCTCTGCAAAAGTCTGGAAGGCTAAGTTACTTTTGTGGGTCTGCAGAAGATGGAAATGAATATTCTAGGGAAAGTTGGAGCAGTAGGGCCAATAGCTCTTGCGGCCCAACCTCTGTGGGTGCAAAAATGTCTGACATTACACAACGAAAGGTAGGCACTTTTATTATCCTTTAACTGTTTTGTAGTCGTTCTATTCCTTTGTCATCTAGAGGAAATAACCCTTCTTATTCAGCAGTTGTAACTAAGGTTGGCATCAGGGCAGGCAAGATATTTATCAACCCAGGCTGGACTTGAAAACCTTGCGCATCCCTCCTGTCCTCAATTGGTATTAATAAACACAGTAACATCCCCAGCCCACAAAAAACCTTGTCGTATTGGTTTATTTCCTCCCCACTCTGATGCGAATAGCCTATGACGCATATATTAGTTATATTTGCAAAATATTAGGGTAAATTACTAATTATGAAATTGTCGGGGTTGGTCTTTTCATGAGTCAGAATGGACAGGAAGGTGCGGAGACAAGTTATACTATCGCTACCACATTCCTGTTCGAGTATTGAAATCTATATACCAACACCCAATTCCCTGGTCAGAACTGGTCGAACCTGCCCTGATTGGGACAGATTTGAAAATGGCATTACTAGTCAATAAAGTTCTATAAAGATGTGTAATGTTTCTTGGCTATCATGGTTCATATCTTTAGATGTGCATACAACTACCTGTATGCCATATGATAAATATCAAATCTTGCTTTGTAGTTGAAGTAGAGTTATCTAACATAACAATGGATTGCTGCTTACTCTGTAGTAGTATGCTAGAGTTGATCATTGCACAAGTAGTGTCTGATTATACTTGTAAGCAGAATATCTTAACAATTGGCTTTGTGCATTCTCAGATGGACTGACTTGACTAGTAGTTTGTTACCCTTTTTAAAAACCAATTATTAAATTTAGAAGAATTGAAATGCAAGAATTATCTCTTCCATTTGTATTTGACTATCAGAGAGATTTTGCTTATTTTATTTAAGTACCATTATTTTTAGGAAAGAATAATTCTGTGGAAACAGGCAATCTGTTTCATAGTGTGTTGTAATCATCATAATAGGCAAATCAGCTAAAACTGTTGGTCAGTGATTACATAGACAACATATTATATCATTTGACATCACATAGTGGTTGGTCTTTTATCTCTTCTAGTTTGTGTTAATAAATTGGAACAATGGAAATAAACATTACAGTATTTGTCGATTTTATATATCTGCAGTAACAGCAGTGGGAAAGCATATACTTTGCGCAATTCAATTTTTACGTAAAATATCATACTTTCTTGTAGTGCAAGAATGTCATTAGCAAGCTGCAGAGGAAAATACACAAGGATGGTAATCAAATCGTGCCAACATTGTCTGATTGGTGGAGAAGAAATGGGAATTCGAGTCTTGCTATTCCTCTCGCTGCAAGGAGTAGCCCACTAGATCTTCAGATAATTGAACAGCGGGTAGACAACTTGGATTACAATGGTGTAACTGACTTTATAGCAGATGTGCAGTTGATGCTGAAAAGTATAGTTCAGCATTGCAACTATACTCATGAGGTACAATTTGATATTATTCTTACTAAGTTGAAAGTACTTCTTGGACTATATCAACAGAAACTTATGCAAAACATGCATGCTTTGTTGCAAAGAACCTTTGCTCTTGCTTTATTTTGGTCACTAGAAGGAGGTTCTTGTGCATGGGATGAATATTGTTTTAGCTAAAGACATTTTTTACTTAGCCCAATCGAAGCCAAAACTTTTAGCATAATTTTTATTTCGTTAATGGCCAATATGATTATTTTAGTCTAAGGCTTTTTTTTGTTGCTTGAAAACATATAATTACAGAAAGGGTCAATAATAAAGCTCATCGAATAGTGTTGTTTTACAAAAGCTGTACTTATAGTTTACAGCATTATGTTTTTTTTTTGTTGTACATTAAAGATATGGTTTTAGATGTTATTGAATATTTGCATTCATTAAATAATTTGACATTGTCTCTGGGCAGGATCTTGTGGTAACGGCAGTTGATGGATTTAGTAAGTACTGTATGTAAACCAAGCTGTGTTTTGATGAGTGTATAAATGTTTTGGTTGTCAAGTCACAATGAAGAACGCATGCAATAATGTTTTGTTAGTCCAAACAAGTGCAAATAGAGATACACATTATTTGTGACCCTAATTTAAACATGTTTGGAAATACTTTTAGAACTTAGAAGTGCAACATTTCTAACATTATGTTTCCAAGATTTTCTCCCTCAGTTAAACTGTACCCGAATTATCTTATCTCTGTTTTTTCTGTTGTTTGGAAATACTTTTAGAAGTGCAACATTTCTAACATTATGTTTCCAAGATTTTCTCCCTCAGTTAAACTGTACCCGAATTATCTTATCTCTTTGTTTTTTCTGTTGTTTGGAAATACTTTTAGAAGTGCAACATTTCTAACATTATGTTTCCAAGATTTTCTCCCTCAGTTAAACTGTACCCGAATTATCTTATCTCTTTGTTTTTTCTGTGAAAATTAGAAACGAATCATGCTTTGATTATTGTTCATGAAAAGACTGTTATCCAAAAATGTAGATTTCATTGTATGTACCGTATCTATCAGGAATTAGAAATCAAGTAAATGATTTCACAAAAAAAGTGATGTAGACTAAAGAATAGCCAAGATTCTTGTGCATCTTTGGAGTCAATATATCTGTAATTTTTTTTCATTTCTGAAAATTTTTGTTTGTTGCATATTGATTGACAGGATTGCATATTGATTACCATCCAGTTCCTTGTTTTCCATCCCCCTCTTCCTTTCTCTTCCTTTCTTTTCTATTCTATGGCCTTCAACATAAATATGATGTTGCATTTTCAAGGTTGACAGCTAAGTGGATGCAAGTTGATTATTTTTATTTCTGATGTCAAATCAGTATGTAAGTGATAACTTGATGTCTGTATACTTTTACAGTAGATACAGCAAAAACTACTTGTTGAAACTGCCTAAAAAACCAATTCAAAGTTGATAATCATGAAGCAGTGTGTATAGATTGTTGATTGTTTTCTTCTTCTAACGCAGGTGAAGTGTGAAGCAGAGAAGCTCCAAGGTCTGTTCTTCGAGATCATGAAGATTGCTTTTCCAGATTCAGATTTTCGAGAAGCCAGGAATGCAGTGACCTTCTCTAGTCCCAGAGGAGCTGTGATGACAAAATCCCCAAAACCAGCTTCCTCGAGCAAAATTAAGCAACAAACTCCAACAAGTAAGTTGGAGACCATGTCCTTTCCTGATAAGGCCTTACCCCATGGGGTTACTCCTGTGGATGGCGAAGGGACAACCAAGTCAACTTCTTCCAAGCACCGGAAGGAGTCCAGGTTGGTTTCTGGAGGTTGGAAAGAGCAGACACCTGAATGTTCACAATTACTGACGCATCCTGGTGATCTGGTCATCTGCAAGAAGAAGAGAAAAGAAAGAGAAAAATCTGCTGTCAAGCACAGATTAGGCCTCGCATCGCCATCCAACCTTGGTCGTATGGGCCCCATATCTCCACCCAGCTCAGGATGTGGGGGCTCTGCGCCATCTCCCACCATGAACAGAAGTTCCAGCTTTCCATCGCAGCGAGATTCACGTCCGGCTCAACAGGCAAAACATCCATTGAGCTGGCGGCATCGCGAGATGCAGCAGCTTGATGATGGGAACTCTGGGCTGCATAGCATAGGAGATGTACAATGGGCTAAGCCTGTAAAGAGAATGAGGACAGACACCAGTAAAAGGCGGCCGAGCCATACGTGAGTCTCTTCATTTGTATATAAATGTGTTACTATATTCTGCAGCTAATTCAACGTGTTACAAAATGAATTTGCATCCGCCCTCACCAAATATCCCATCCCTCCGTTTGAGGGAGTGGTGTTGTGGATTATGATAGCGGGAATAAGTGGCACACTCACTATTTAAGTAGCACACTCACTAAGGGAATAAGTAAGCACATTCAACATGAATCAACGCCTCTCTTTTGTGTTTCTCTCAGCTTTTGGCCCTGATGAGTTCATTGGAGATGTAGGCACTTAAGATGTGTCAATTGTGGAATCCGTTTGTTATGATGCTAGGCTGTTGTCAGGCATGTTTTACTCAGATCACCAATTTTTCATCTCGAGCTTAAAATTTTTCGAATTATATTCATTGTTTAAATTTAAATTTGAATTTACTGTTCATCTTGAATCATTTTTTTTCCTTTCCTTTTTTGCATATTAAATCTATTTGACAGGGTTATATTTCCCCACGAGGGTTCATGTCTTCATTGAATCGAGCATTGTATTATCTCCCTGTTCTCACTCGATTTCTATGCAACAACAGCGGAGGTTGAATCTTCCTTTCTGTCTTTTTGATTGTATGCTTCACTCTCTCTCTCTCTCTCTCTCTTCTGATGTGTTATGTCATCGTGAAATTAATATAGTCTAAAAATAAATTTATCGTATACGCTTTTGTGCCCTCAATCTTCGTAAAATGGGATATATCATCATGAAACTAATATTTTAGAATCTTGGTTTGACTTGATGAATAAGATTCAGAAGAACTTGCATTGCGGAGACTTCATCATCTGAGCATCATTAATCATATAGTATATACAACATTTAAGTTATAGAATCTTATGCTAAGAGGAGACGTTCCAACATGAACAGTAGCAGTGTACACCATATAACCAGCTGTATCTATCAATTGGCCTCACAGGACTCGTCTCTTTTGACTCTCATCTGACATGAACATCCAAACAACGAACGTATACGTCTCGTCGGTATCCCATTCCGATGTTATGCTGCCACTGCTTCCTCATAACCCATGCATGAGGTCTTGGATTTCCTCTAAAGCTCCACATCTTCTCTCCTCCTCCGACACCCATGGCCACGCTGCCTGATGGTGCCATGACACAGCGAGATCCGTTGGCTTTCAGCTAAACGCCTGCAGTTGTCTTGTAGAAGGGCTTTTGGCGTCCATGGATGTCTTCTGCTGAGCTCCTTCCATGAGAGGAGTGATGGGTTGGAAGATTCGTCGGCATGTATATCTTCCGGCTCATGGACGCGAACTGCTCTTATGGGCTTTGTTCGTCTCCGAGCGGATCCAAGAAAACTTAGCCCAATCGGATCCGTTAAGGCCATGAGGAAAACCCTAATCCCTCTATCAATGTCTTTATATAGTTTCTCACACGTCGCCTTAACCTTCAAATCTGGAGCGGCTGTCGATGTTTCTCTTCTCCCCAACTCCATGCTGCCTCAGGTTGAACTCTTCGTCTTGGATTCCAGATTTCCATTTTTTGATCCTGTGAAGTGCTCGATTCCGTTTAATTTTGTTTTCCCCACCGATCATTACGATCCTGATGGTGAGAACGATGCACAAATCGAAGGCTTGGAAGCGTCCTACCGAGGAAAAATGCCTTCTGAGTTCAAAAAATGTGCTATATTAACGATCGTCTCCTCGACAAGTGACCTCCTCCAGTGCTCCGCTCCCTGTCGGAGGTCTTGTGTGAGGAAGACGGAAATATTTTCCTGATGGCTTTTCTGCTTATGTTTAACCATGTGGATTTTGATTGCTCTCTTTAGTTTGTTCTTGATAGGTGCCTGAGTTACCACATCGATCCTTTGCCACTTTTTAAGTTTTCGGATCGGCTCTTCTCTTGATATGATTAGGGTTCTCAAGTTCTCGGTAGGCTATGCACATAACTTGTTTGATGTTATGTCTAAGAGAATGTTAATCTGATATGCTCATCTCGGTGCAGATGTATGTTTTCTTCTCCTCGCGATGCAATGTTGGCTTCGCACGAGCACAGTGAACACCGAAGTCTATCAAATGAGTAATCCATCAATTGAGCACACGAGCTCATCACTACTGTCACTTATTGCACTCTCTGATTCCGCACAAGATTGGAAAGCCATTCTTTAACCTAGTCATCGTTGATCTTGAAAGCTTCCGTAACAAGCTGAGGAAATCTTTGAAGGCCTTAAAATAAATATAAATTAGAAAAATCAATAAAGTAAACCATATTTTTCCTGAAAGTTTGAGATGAGATGAGATACGATAAAAATTAGAAAAAAAATCAATAAAATCAGTCATGCTTTACGAGCATAACATCCTAAATTTTTTCCAACTCATCTCTGTATCTCACCACTGTCGTATGAATGGTTTGGCCCTTTGTGTTTTTGAATGATTTGGGTATTTTCAGAGTTTTCCGTTAAATTTCATACATTTCGAGTTTAATAATGTAAGTTATTACAACACCATAAGTTCGTTCAATTTATTTTAATATTTTAACATGATAGATAACTATGATATAAATAATGATTTCATTGATTTTTATTTTTAAATGATTTCGACAATTTATAAGTCGGAGTTAAATGAATTTACGATAAAAATTTATAAAATCATATAACAATCCTTAAAGGACATGTCTTTTGTCATCTTAGCGGCGTCTTAACAAAAGGAGATCTCGGTGCAATTACGATATAAATAAGCGAGCGGTCACTTACGTCACGTCGCGTAATTGTCACGTCATTTACGTCACTTACATCACGTCACGATATAACAAAAGGATAACTATGATGTAAATAAGCAAGCGGTCTCTTACGTCACGTCATCGCCGCCGTTTACGCTCACCGCGGGCCAATTGACACGGAGATCTCGGTGGCGGGCTCGACGGCCTCCGCCCACGCTTCCGAATCCAGGTACAGCTTCGAGACCCTCCCGGCGACCCATGTCATGTCCGGCCGCGCCGCAGCCTCCTCCACGCACTGCAGCGCCAACCGGAGCAGCGCCTCCGCCGCCTCTACTGGGTACGAGTCCCGTAGCCTCCGGTCCACCCACCGCCTCACGTCGCCCTGTCGGTCCCCCTCCTTCCTCGCACCGATCACCTTCCTTGCCGCATCGATAAGGGACACTCGCTGGGATACCCGAACGTAGTCGCTCCCGCTCCCGGCCTCGCCACCGTAGCTGTAATTGAGCGGCTCCTCGCCGGAGATGAGCTCCAGGAGGATGACCCCGTAGGCGAACACGTCGGACCGCCGCGAGATTGTCCCGCCGGCGAGCTGTTCCGGCGTCATGTATCCCCTGGACCCCTCGATCCGCCTCCGGCGGCTGCCTATATTCCTGCCCCCCACCAGCGAGCGGATCGAGTCGGCGTCACCGTCCTCTTCGGCGGCGGCGGAGGTCTCACCAGCGAGATCGGCGGCGCCGAAGTGGCAGATCCTTGCGCGGAAACCGGGCTCGGTAACGATGACGGAGGAGCTCTTGAGCCGGTTGTGGACGGAGGAGTGGAGGTGGATGTACTCGAGGCCGTGCGCGATGTCGGACGCAACCTGCATCCTGGAGATCCAGGTGGACAGCGGGGTGAACTTACGGTTCCTCGGGTTGCGAAGGCAGTCGAGTAGGCTGGCGCCGGGGGTAAACTCGTGGACGAGGTAGACGTGGTCGCCTGCAAGGGAGGCGCCGAGGAGGCGAACGAGGCTGGAGTGGTGGGACTTAGCGAGGGCAGCGAGGCGGGCGGGGAGATTGGTTGGGTCGGGGCCGCGGAACCGGTGCTGGAAGACTACGACGTCCTTTCCGCGGAGGCAGCAGCGCCATCCGGCTTTGGCGCCAGGGAGGCGGTCGGAATGGAAGTTACCGGTGGCGGAGAGAAGCTCGGGGAAGGTGTAGAAGACGGGGGCCTCACGGATGGCCTTGCTGAGGGAGGGGAGGCTGCAGTCCGAGGAGGAGGAAACCTTGGAGGCGGAGGAGGGGAACGAGATGAAAGAGACAGCAGCAGTGGCGCCGGCGAGGCGAGGCTCGCTACTGGAGCCGGTAGGAAAACCGCCGGACGAGGTGGCGACGGTGGAGGACGATCGAGAACTCGACCGCGGCCTGGGCTCGGAGGCAAGAGTGGCGCCCTTGGACTTGCACATGGGGGAAGGAGCGATCAGGTAGCGCCCGAATCGCAGGCGCTTGCGAAGGTCGTTTCACCGGTGGCGGGGGCTATGAAAAGGAGAAGAAACGGTTGGGATACGGCAGGAGATGTGACAAAAGGCAAGTCGGCGTTTGATTTGAATGCCACGTTTCTCGAACTATTGCGATCGCATGCATTAGGCGCGTAGGCCTCACCCGGTCGAGTTCGTGGAATCAATCAGAGGCCATCGTGATCAGCTTCTCCTTTCATGGTAGTCAAAGCTGAACACAAATCTGGTATAGCGTTCGTCGCAAATCATTTCATATTTTATCGCATATATGAAGGATGTAGGATTGGGATTGGTAGGAGATGGAGAAATAAGAATTCTCTTTGGCCAAATATATACAATCTAATAAGCTTCTTTAGCCGCCGCTCTTTTCAGAAGTCCCTTAAGACGTCAAAATGACACCAGCATGATCTTAGCATAAAAAAGGGGCAAAGAAGTAGCTCTCTAACGTTGACTTGTGTTCGTGAACTATTTATTACACGTCTTTCGCTTTCCAAGACGAATTAATGCCGTGAAAGAGACAAAAAAAAAAAAGAACAAGAAAAAGGAAAAGACGATGAGTTTGTTCATTGAAGTCTCATGCATCAGATCGACCATATCATTCGAAGTCCGTCGATATACGACCAAAGACTTGGGGAGATAGAAGGGACCGCAATTTACTTACAAGAGAAGGTCGGTGGCAGTCACCTGACGTCTTATCATTGTCAAGCGCGTCTTTTGGGGCTACGGAGGTAGAAGGCTTGTTGCCTCGAGAAACTCAACTCAGAGATGAGACTGTGAGCCATGCTGAGCAAGATAAAAAAATTTGTTTTTTTAATAGTAAATCATCACATAATCGTTAGGGTTAACTATATATACCGGATACTATTAATATTATTTCTTTTTATATTTAAAAATTTATATTAAAAATTTTATAATTTTAAAAATAAAATAAATAATCTTATTTATTTTGACATCGTTGTATTGACGAAAAATACTTCAACTTCTTCTATCATCGTGTCTTTATCGAAGTCGAGATATTTCGAATTGATATATAATTCAAAAAAATATTAAGTATTTTCATTAGGAAATTAGATGTTATCGTATGTCGATATTTAAAATAATAAAAAATATTCTCTCATGTAATTATCAAATATAATCACGAGCTTCTTCAATCATCATGCCTTTATTGATATGGAAATATCCAGATATTCTAGATTGATATACAACCAAAGAGGGTAAGGTATTGAGTGTTTTTGTTAGAAAATTAAATGTTATCGTGTATCAATATTTAAAATAATAAAAAATATTCTTTCATGTAATCATCACAAAATTATCGGGTTAATTATATATACTAGATATTATTAATATTAATATTTTATATTTAAAAAATTATGTTAAGATTTTTATAGTTTTAAAAATAAAAATAAATAATCTTATTTATCTTGACATCATTAATTGTATTGACGAAAAATATAATATGTGACAACAAGTGTTTGATCGATATGAAAGTGATGGACAAAAAACTAATTTCAATATCTCTTTTGTTTCTAATGATAATTTTCACTTATCACGTGTCGAAAACGAAAAGGATGGTAAAATTATCTTTTTATCCATAACTTTTGAATCAATCTAGCACATAGTATGACGTATTATATTTTCGTCATTGCAGTCAATAAAATTAGGACAAATGAGATTATTTATTTCACTTTTAGAATTATAGGAATCCCAATATAAATTTTTTTAAGTACAAGGATGATAATACTAAATATATAGAGTAATATATAATTAGTCCCAATATATATATATATATATAGAATCTACCACCTTAACTTATTATTGTAGGAGTTAAAAGAGGATAGTTTCAAATCAAATACATTTGATATCATAAAAACGTGTCATTATTTATATTCTATTTATTTAGATCATAATTATTCTAAGTGATCTTATAGTTATTTAAATGACTTAAATAACTATATGGTCATGATACTCGAGAAACATGGACCAGGAAAAGAAGAATCTTTGGAAAATGCAACCCACCAACATATCTTCCATAGTATAAGACCGTCACTGAGAACGCTAACGTGCCTCAAACAAAAGTACTCTTTTCCATCGCTTTCCGCTTTGCGCGTCTCGCTGGATTCCATGTTATCGATATGTCACCTTGAACTGAATACCAGTATCTTATATGATATGCACATTAACATCAAGGATTTCAAATGCATAGTGTTATGCATAGCCACATTGTAAAGCATTTAGAAAAGAAAAAGAATATACAACAGTTTGGTTGGAAATGATAGAATATAAGATTTTCCTAACTCCTTCCTCCTAATTTGTATAAATAGGAGAGGGAACATGTTAATAGATTCAAGCTAAAGCTATTTCATTTCTACAATAAAGCTTCTTCAATTATTGTTCTTATCTTCTATTATTTCTATCATGGTATCAGAGCCGCTTGCCTGAGAGCTTGCAAGCTCTCGAACGGTAACTGTTCCCTTCCACTACGGCATCTCTAGTGCTGCTATTTTCCTTCCTCTTCTACTACAGCTTCCTCTTCTGCTACAACTTTCTCCTCTGTTGCAGTTTCCTCCTTTGTTGTAGTAGCATCACTGCAACATTGCTGTAGATTTCTTCTCTACCGTCGCAGCCGTCGTAATCGCAACCACGACCAACGTCGTTGAGAAAAGCAAAGCTTCGCTCTTGCCTTCGGCCAGCGACCAACGTCGCTGAGAAAAGTGAAGCTTCACCCTTCGGCCAGCGACCAACGCCGTTGCATTCCTAAGAGGCTCCGTGGTCAATCCTCATCTTCCTCACCGCGGTAGTCTTCGCTGATCTGCCAACATTCGGCAGACTTAAGGAGAATGAAGGGAACGCCTGTGCAATCACAGCAATAGCAATCGCAGCAGCAGCAGCAACGATATACACTTATCTTACTCATGAAGCCTCTCGCTTGTAAATAATTCTTTGCATCGATCCAAGATT